CATTTTTAATATCACAATTACATTCCGAATCGCTAGCCACGATATAAGGGCTACAATTAAAAATAAAATAATAAAAACTTACTCGGTGAAATAAACTGTGTGGTGGATGTACCGGTACATACCCGGTACAAAATATTCTTCAATTGTACGAATATACTTTTAAAGAAAATTATAATTAAAATATAGCTTTGTGAAGAAACGTACATAAAAATAACATAAAATATTCTTTACTTTTTATATATTAAAACAATCAACTTAGTTAAAATGGCTCCCTACCAGTGGCTCATGAATAGAATCAGAGACGGTCTTGGTAGGTGTGCGGTGAGTGTATGCGTGGCAAATCCCCAGGGTGCCGATACCGTTCAATGTCAAATGCCTCTTTTGTCGCATCACTCAAAGGACGCGACGGGGTTGTTGTACATTTTAAACGTTTCTCACCATAGCTGTAAAAATCTAAATTTGTTAAACTTAATAGTCATTTGCTTTCTAACTAATTCGTCTTAAGACCAGGTGTTCACGGAAATTTCCAAAATTTGCAACTTTTAGTCACTTTCCTTGAACTGGAAAAATTTCTGTCTTTATTACGTGTAATATTACGAAGAAATCAGTCCCCACTGTACTCGGCTAGAGATTTGTTCGGTTAAGCTTTTGTTTAAGTAAAATTTCGGCTCTTTCAGCGGGGTTTTATTTATGTCCCTAATTCCCTAATCGCTTAATTACTTAACTACTTCTTAAGTAGACATAAGTCGAAACCGATTACTTTGTACTCGAATATTTGTAGTCTCGAAAAAAAGTGGAAAGACAAATTTTTACTTCAACGGATACATAAATCGTAAATTTAAGGAAAATAAATTTTAGAGCGTTTTCTGTACCTCGTGCATATCTCTCATTCATTAAATTTAGTTGTAAATGATGCTGTCAAAGTAACAGTTAATTTTTTAACATTGTACGAGAATTGTTCACGTTTTTTTCTACGTCCCCTTAGAGATGGGACATACGAAATCGTAATACTGTATAACCGGTTTAACATTGAAATACGTGAGTAATATAAAATCGGAGAGCGAAATAAATATATCAAATATTTTAATGGATTTTTTAAAACTCCTGTCAACTATACAGAACTATCGTTAAAACGTACCAGTAAATTCTTATCTGTTGGGTTAAGTTATAAATCTACTCGCGATTCGCATAATGGGGCGAGGGCGGCTAACAGCCCGGAATCGGTCCCGGATAGAATTGGATGAGGTATACGTGTAGCAGCCACCCGAGGTCGTAGGCTTCCACCGGCTAAACCGGGTGAGGTCGGTGTTCCGTAAAGCGCATGCGGGAATCTGGCTGTTTGGAAGCTGACGATACAGCGCTTCCACTCCGCCACTAATATTCGAATATACAATAGCGATCTTATCTTTTTTCCACGTGTAGTATAGAACTTTGTAACAAGATACATAATGCGGTTATAATAATATATTGTGCGATTATTTTCATATAATTAAAATTAATATGTACTTATTTTTTTAGAAAATACGAGAGAAGCGGCGCATACACCGCTTCTAATGACGGCACACCACTGTCTTCTGTGAAAGAAGATCTACCATACCACTCACCAATTTTACTTGGTTTCGGTTTGACAAAGTTTTAGTAAACTTTTTGCTTTTCAATTGTTTTGTTGTGTGAAGAATACCATGTTTGATCGTAAGTTAAATTCACACTATTCTGATCAGAACTTCTCCAGTTATACGCGGAATTAATGGTTGTGCTTTTATTTTGGACGTGAGAAATATCCTTAATAAAAGGGGGAAACTATATTTGTTATGAGCTAATTGTAGAGGAGAAGGTGGTATTATGGAACACTGCAGGTATTATGGAACCACCCCATTTCGAACTGATAATAAAGGCGAACTGTAGCGGAATGTGGCTGAACTGAACTAGGCAGACACCCATAGCAAGGAGAAAACGCGTTTTACTTCAGTTAAACAGTTGTCCGTATTTAATCAGCAAATTTGTTTTTTTCAAAATTCGCAAGTTTTGAATGCTAAGTGAATTTAATTATTTTTAAAATATAAATCGTGTAGTTGTAGGTTCACTGGTGCATGTATTCCGTTCCAGAGACTTAGGGGTACATATTAATCTGTGTGATGTTCACGTTTTTTAAATTTTGGTCTCGACAGACATAAGTTAATTCGAGATGGCGATGCGTGAAATACGGACCCCATTGGTGCTTTTACAGTAATATGGAACTCAACTCCTCCGAACTTTCTATTTGCAAGCAGACATTCCTCCAGAGCAATTTGTGAAAAAGACACTAGGTAGAAAGCCAATTCTTCCCGAGAATATCGAAAAAGAGCTGCTGGAATATATATTGTTGATGGAGGTCATATTTTTCTATTATAAAAGCATTTTTGCGATAAAATACATTGGAGTAAATAATTTGGTAATTATTTAACATTTTTTGTCCTTTCCTATTTGTTTTTGGCTACATTAAAGCATTTTTTTGAAAATATACAGTAAGGTTCCATATTACCACCCGATTTTCTCTAAGCCTACTTTCGGACTTTTTGTACAAAAGCCTTCAAAAACCATACTTATAGTTACACTAGCGAAAAATCCAATTAGGAACATTTAGATTACTAGTTATCAGTACTTTTCGCACAAAAAATGTGGGTGTAGTTATGATACCTTGTTTACAATTCACTAAAATATAATTGGGGTTCCATAATACCACCTTCTCCTCTATAATTTATATTTTCCGATATCCTCGTCGCCATTTTAAGCTTGTAAAGAGAACTTCTTTATCAGGTAATAAACATGTTCTCGTGCTCTTAAGAGCTAGCCCGTCTTGCCGATCATGTTGCCAGTTGTACATTAATTATATAAAAAATAATAAATTAATATACAGCAGCCCTTACTTATCAACGTTCAATTTACGAACAATTTGACCGTACGTCTAAAATTTAAATTTTACGTGGATTGTGAAGTTATGTTGCCGCTCGTTCAGATCAGTTTTTGGCCTGTAATAAATAAGTTTTTAATAAATAATAAATGCGTGTTTATTTCTAACCCACATTAATTAAACATTGCGTCTGTACATTGTGTTAATTCATTGCTTCCTGTTTGATGCAACCGTTCAGAGGTAGAAAAGAGTTGCATTACCTTCTCGGCTGTTATGACATATTATGTAAAAATAACTTTTATATTATCATAAGGCTGGGTAGAGGCAAGCCGTCAAGTAAGCAAGCAAACGAACGAACAACTTAAGAAGGAGAACAAGTTTATTAGATTATTTATTTTTATGAAATTTATGAAAAGCTGGACCTTATTTAGATGACGAAAATTCGGAAAACGTCACACTTGTTTTCGACTTTCATGTTTCTAACTTCTCTCTCGAGATTAACGAAGGATAAACAGGCAGCAGACAGGAGACGACTGTCGGAATTTATAGGTCTACAATTTTTCTAATTGCATTCCTATAATTTTTGTAGATACAAATGAAATTGACACAAATGAAAGACGATTATGTAAGGGAGGCAACATCATAATTGGAAATAATAGAATAAGCTGAAAATGATGACGATGATGATACATATATATAAGAGTAAAATCTTCATTAAGTCCTACCCACGTCGCGATATCACACATGAGCTCGTGTATATTCCCATCCCTCGACCCGTAACCACCAACATTAATTAGCGACAATGCTTTTTGTATACAAGTTACCATTTCAAATTTCGTTTCTGAATCTTTATCCCATTCTGAAATATGAATCAAAACCAACACAAAACACATATACACACATATCCACAGAATTTTTCCCGTCTTTCCATCATACTGTGATCTGGAAATTTCAAAACATGGAGATTTGTAAAATCTCGGAGAGTAAATTCCAATACATTCCCTTGTTACATATACGTAACAGCTGGGAAATTATCAGTCGATGAGATTTATTTCTTATGTTACTTTCTCTGAAATAGTCCGGCTGTAGTGCGGGTACAGTAGTGTTGTCTCCGAAATGTGAGGAGAAATCACATGGTCTTTGTTTGTACAAAGGAACGAGGAGTAAGTATAGTAAAGCATCGATTATCCGACTCAATTGGGGATTCAGTTGGTCGGATAACTGAAAAATCGGATAACCGAAAAGTAGGAAAAAAATACATTATTAGTATAGTATATTAGGATATTAGTATATCCCATGTACAGTAATTAGTTTATTAGTATATCGCTATTAACCGACTTCGCGTTGAATTTTCATCGATGTTTAGCCTAACAAATTTTTTTTAAAAATAATAATCGTCGCTATTGTATCGTTAAAAATTATTTTATTGCTCACGAAACAAACAACCACTCATAATTAGAAAATTAAGTCTCGTTTAAATACTGGCCTCCCTTCAATGGTCGAGCCGTTGATGCCAGCTAAAACACGCAAATATTTAACAAAAATAATATTAAAGTAGCCAAGATATAGCCAAATATTGTAATGCCACATCACTAGCGGACATTTGAAATTTGCCGACT